GCACTTAGACGCAATCTGCGCTAAGACGCAAACTGCGCTTAGACGCAATCTGAGTTTAGACGCAATCTGCATTTAGACGCAAACTGCGTTTAGACGCTAACTGTGTTTAAACGTAAACTGCACTTAATCATAAGTAATCTTAGAATCGGCTTTTTGCATCAAAATAGTCTTTATCGAACGAACGCAGCTTTCGGTTTTTAATCGCTGAAAAATATCCGCTGCACTAATTCACCCCCCCCCTCTTAGTGCTCTCGATCCTAACAATCCCTAGGGGTGAGAGACCCTGGTCATTGAATAGACGCTAGTATCGTATTAGCATTCACACTGAGGTGAATATGTCCATGTGCAGAAAGGGTGTCTATTGTCCCCCTAGGTGAAAGTACTATAAGTTGAGGGCAAAGTCTCTTTACTCGAGCATTTATTAAGAGAATCGATGGATAGGCATTTCTACGACATCAAGTCCTCTTCTAGTATCAAAATATTACAGGAAGAAGTTATTGACATCTTGGTTAATCCAATATAGTCTAGGCTCGTATGCGTACGGTTGTCCGATGTGCCTCTGAGGTAAAAACATTAAACTCTCGAGGTGCCACCTATACAAAGATCGAGGTTGAGAGAGGTTTTATAACCCGATCTTTTTAACACTCAAGTTAGTAACCCGAGATATATGAGTACGAATGCAAGTGGTCAAAAAGGTTATCCTTCATCTTTTTTCATTATGTTGAATATGAGCTTTTATACATAATTATAAATAGACAGAATATTCTGTTGGGAAGTAACCTTTAATTACCTCCAATAGCCTCCCCTTGATCTCTTATCGATGCAAGAGATAAGGGAGAGACAATACATAATCATCTGCCTTAGACCATGGTTGTCACATGTTAGATTGATCGATAATGTATTTTCTATCAATCATCAATTAATTATAGGTCTTATGTAAATTTCATGACCTAAATGAAATATTTTTTTAAGGTAAAAATTATGTTTCATATTAATTTTTTGATTAAATAAAAACAAATATATGATTTAAAATACTTTTAATATTTTGTAACATCATAATAAGTATCTAAAAGATAACACTAGAAATTATAAATTTAACTAAGAGCGGCTGATAGACATCAATTATAGTGATACAGAATTAAGTTTTAGGTTTTGAAGGGATGTATTGATGTAAATAAATTATCACAGGTTTTGAAGGTATATATAATTAATCACATATGCTAGTGGAGTTGACGCGAAACCAAAGACTTTAAATAAGGACGCATATGCGGATGCGATTTGACCTCCGACCAATGTGGCCGATTTCTTATACTTGTGATGTATTAGTCCACCATGAGACAATGGAAAACACCGCAATGAGCTGCAATCAACAATCAGTGATCTTATTCTGTGGTGTACATCGAAGCAATCTCCGATACAAAATATTTCATGCATATATATATATATATATATATGTTTTCATATAGAATAAAGCATTATTATTGTCTGAACAGCAGAAGATAAACACACCCACCAACGCGTCGCTCTCATTCTTTGTGGAAGAGTGATCAGTATAGTGGACAGCTGAGACGTGGTGCAGGGACGGCAGCAAGCCGCACCGCCCTCGGCGCCGTCAGCCCGAACACGTCCCCCATGTCGAGCTCGCTGGGCTTCATTCCGTCCGGCAGCGTCCACGTGAAGCAGTGGATCAGCTGCGCCACCGCGAGCTCCAGCGCGTGCAGGCCCAGCTGCATGCCCGGGCACGAGCGCCGGCCCGACCCGAAGGGTAGGAACTCGAAGTAGTTGCCCTTGAAGTCGAGAGACGCGGCGCAGCCGCCGGGGGTGAACCTCGACGGCCGGAACGCGTCGGCGTCCTCCCATGAGGACTTGTCCCGGCCTATGGCCCACACGTTGATCATGACGCGGGAGCGAGCGGGGACGGTGTAGCCGGCGACTTCGCAGTCCTCGGCGGTCTCGTGGAGGAGGAGAGGGATGGGGGGGTGGAGGCGGAGCGTTTCCTTGGTGACGCACTTGAGGAAGGAGAGCTTGTCGAGGTCGCTCTCGTGCACCTTCCGGTCGAGTCCGACCACATGAGCCAGCTCTTGTTGCACCCGTTTCATGTCCTCTGGGCTCTTCATCAACTCGGCCATGGCCCATTCGATGGCCGAGGCCACCGTCTCCGTGCCGCCGAACATCACATCCTGCGTCGTCAAGCAATTGAGTTTATTGAGGCAAATTCAAACAACCATCATATAAGAATTCAGAAGAACATAATAAATAATAATTACTACTTTGAATTAAAATATCATGCTTTTAATAACTCTAAAGTGTGGTTGGGTAGGAAAAAATTGCTATCTTTTGATGATGTCGTGCATCACCATCATGCTCTGGGTATGTGTGTGTGTGTAGATAGATAGAGAGAGAGAGAGAGAGAGAGAGAGAGAGAGAGAGAGAGAGAGAGAGCTCATTCTGATGTGAGATTATCTAATTGTATTGCGTGAAGAGGAGCAAAGAAAGTGAACCAAGTAGGGAGACATCGATAGGATATTGGAGCACACCATGATGATGGCCTTAATATTGTTCCTGGTCAACTTGAGGGTTCCCTGGAGATCATCTCTCTCCCCTGCTTGGCAGCGGTAGCCGGACTCATCAAGGAAGGCGAGCATGTCGTCCACCATGTCAGCATCGGATGCATCAGCCTCCTTGCGGTTCGCCATGTGCTCGTCGATGATCTTGTCGATGAATCTGTCGAGCGACGCTCGTGCCACCTTGAGCCGCTTGTTGATGCCCTGCGGATCCATCCAGCTGAGCCATGGGATGAAGTCCCCGATGTTGAACGAGCCGAATAGCTTGGAGAACTCCTGAAGTATGGAGATGAACTCGTTCTGGTTCTCGTGGCTCTGCGTCCCGAACGCCGCCCGGAAGATGATGTTCTTGGTGAGGTTGAACAAGAGCTCGCCGACGTTGACAGCAGAGCCAGCGCGGTCGGCGAGGGAGCGGACGGCCACATCGACCTCCTCACGGACGGAGGCCCACGACTCGGCGCGCTTCTTGCTGAAGAGCTTCATCACGCAGAGCTTGCGCATCTGGCGCCAGAAGGGCCCGTAGTGGGCGAAGGCCATGTCGGCGCGGTTGTAGGTGAGGTAAGAGATGGCGATGGTGGCCGGGCGATTGGAGAAGACGTTGTCTTGCACCTGAAGCACTTGTCGAGCGATCTCCGGCGTGGACACCGCGAAGGCGTGGAGGAAGCCAAGACGGAGATGGCAGAGGCCGCCGTAGTGCTCCCCGAGCTTCGCCAGGCCGCGGTGTGTAAGCTGGTCCATCATCAGCATGTTGCCGATGACGGGCAGCTGCGGTGGCCCCGGCGGAAAGGGCAGCTTCCCTCGTCTTCTCGTAGCGACAACATACAGGAGCACCAAAGGTAAAGCGAAGCATACCATGAAGTGCAGGGGCGTGACCTCTTCAGACCATTCCATAGCTGCCGCCGCTATATGTTATACCCTCTCTCTCTCTCTCTCTCTCTCTGAGATATCTTCTCCTGAGAGAAGAAGAGTGGAGAAGGCCACATATAAATAGCCACTAACAAAAGATCCACAGGCTTATCTCATTCCATAATAGCCATCCCCGCCGCGTATTTATTTTGTATCTTTGATCTCTACAGGTGTTTGTATTCGTCCTCCCGTGACATCAATTCCAATCCGTCAAACGTCCTTTCGTCATGTCCTATTCACTTATTTATGGTTTGCGAAGAAGATGAGTGTAATAGAGAACCTAAATGATGATGACGCATGATTGTTCACCATAATCAACATTGCAGTCGGGGTGGAGAGAAGTAGGTGAGTTAGTCTGACGAGGTTGTGACGACACCCCACGCCTGGAACGCAGAACACAGCGTGTGGTGTGAAGAGAAGGCTCCCAGCCAATACAATTTTAGGCACCCGGCAATTTTCTCCCACCAAACTCAGCTGCTGCTGCCTTCCGTGTCGAAGGCAGATTCTCATTAGTTACATGATATCGTATACTTTGTAGAATCTAAATGTGCCAAGAAATCTTTTAAATCATTATTTTTATGCTGGGCACAATTTTCTTCATACGTTATGCTTAAATTAGGCGGATAATTCAGACGTGAGAAAAAGAGAGTTGTGGTTTAGTGTTTGCATTTGAAAGAACTCGATCTTTATTGTATGTTCGTAAGGAACTCTAACATCTGATTGTGATGGCATCGTACGTGGAGAAGATAGACCTCAGATTTCGGAGATGCAGATGATGTCGTCAATGCGTCACGCAACCATCAGTTCTTTATGTTGGGCTTAGAGCCTATATTCAATCCACAGCTCACAAGCTCACAAGCTCACAGAGAGACAAGAACAAGGACAACACATATTTATATCAAGGGGGTCGTGGAAAGAAAGGGAAAGAAAGAAAAGAAAACAAAGTGAATACAGAGAGACTATTCTCAATCATCTAGTAGTGCTTTCATCTCAGATTAGATCAGATCTATAATAGATTCTTACTATAATTACTCGGGAGAATTATGAAGGATTTAGATATTGTGCACAGTGATGTGATCCTTGTATCCCAGTTATTCTTTTGTGATTATTGCTAAGGTTTTAGGTAAGAGATTGAGATTTGTATATTTATTATTATTATAGTGGATTATCTCTAGTTTGTCCTGTGATTTTTATCCTCATATTGAAGGGATTTTCCACGTATATTTTGGTATTCTATTTTATTATGATTCCATTTAATTATGTTGTGTGTTATGACCCGCTAATATTTGTTCATATATAAAAGTTTATTTCTCTTTATATCACATCACTTTAACTCCCCAAGAATTTAAACATGAATCGATCTTTAAATGTTAAGTGAATGATTGAGAGGTTTCTTACTATTTATTTAAACTATTACCTTTCTATAATGTGATGATTTTTTAGTTTGCATGGCGTCCTTTTGAATTATCTAAAAAATATAATTGGGTCCTTTTCTTTTATTAGTTTAGGATGTTGGGATTAGAGCAACCCAATTGAATCTTTTATATTATATATATCAGAATAGAGCATAAGTTTGAATCTTTCATTCCGGTGTTTAACTTTTATTCCAAACATAAAAAATGGTTTTTTTCTGCGTGCAAACGTCGTAATGAAGGGAGCTTGTCATTCAAGTCTCTGGGATTTATGCTCACTTAGAAATGGGTGATGGTGGTGAAGAGAGAGAGAGAGAGAGAGAGAGAGGTCATTGTCTTCCATAACCTTAACCTACCTTCACAGAGTACTTTCATTTGCCGGTGAGCAAATACACTGTGGATTCTGATGCTTCAGCTGAAGGGACTTCGAACAAAGGGAGTGACCGAATGATGTGCTTACAGCTCCCACCACGAACAATGTATCAATCAATCAATTTTGGCTTGGCGTCTTCTCACATAATGAGATCACAGGCAGGTGAGAAAAAATAAGTATAAGGATTTCAATATAATTTTTGAAGATATAACGATTGAGATACTAAAATAATTAATTATGAAAATAATATATAATTAGTCTAATTAATAACATGATGAGATTATGTTTAAAAGTTATAGTTAATAGTTGGTAAGCAAATCTTGTCTGCTTCATCTTTGTGAAGTAAAAACCTAACCTTTTTTTAACCTTTGCCTTCGTTGCACAACCTACCACGAATCCGACCCGTCACCGGAGACGACAGCTCCTAAAAGTTCTCAACCACCACCATATTTCTGATGGATGCAACAACAGGTTTCAAAGCCTCTTTAATAAGCTCTTTGAAGACTGTAAATGGAGAAGAAAGAAGTGAAAAAGGGGGCGCGCACACAACAATCTCAATCAGCTGCAAAGTTTGACCATCTCAACCTAAGATTGCACTGCATAGTCAATTTTTGGAGTTGGATATAGATTCGGAATCAATCAAAATTCTATTTTATATCTGTCTCTTATTAAGAATTGCTGAATTTTAATGGTGTCGAATCTTATAAAACTATATCGGAGGTGTATCCGTTAAGACTCCTCTGATATTTAAGTTAAAAGATTCAATAATAGTTTCGTGCATCTCCCGACCCTGAAGGAGTCATGCCATTGCAAATCTAAAGGATGTGAAATAGATATGATGTTGTTCAAGGAACGATACCATGTCAGCTACACATTGTGGAATATCGGGGATGTAACGTCAAGGTGTCGTCCATGGGACGCTAAGGTACTGATCATGAGAGATTGGGTATCTATCACTTAACGCTGTGGTGCCATCCTCACAAAAACGATGATGTCGACATGGAATCGAGGGTGTCGATCATATCATTGTTTCCCTATCACACTTCAAATCCAGAAATACTAAACTTGTTTAATATCTTTCTGACCTGAATGCGATGCAATCTGAGCATAAGAACTGCCGAATTCTTCGGTGGAAGGATCAATTGACGTTGCTGCAAACTCAACAAACACAACTCCTGTTGACATTGGACTAATCCGGCGGCATGTCGAAGCAACTCACAATGTTGCAACTGCATTAATTTGGATGTTAAGAAAAGGGTATGAGGATAGTAATTATAATAAGACTCGGCTGACGTCAAATACGCCTCACGCCTCGATCGACGTGACAACACCCGGTCGAACTGACCAGAACATCGGTCGAGGCGTATTAACGCCTGCTCCGGCTCGGTTCTTCACGCCACGCAACACCAATGTCAGACGCTACCAGCCTGCCCCCTACAAGCGGGCACATCAGGAAACAATAAGCTTCTCTATAAATACCATCGCATCTCAAACGAGGAGGAGGAGGGCAAAGGAAGGAGAAAGAGACTTCTTCATCTAAAACCCCCTCCACATCATCTGACTCGATCGTCGGAGGGGTCGAGTCGAGCTTCCCGGCCTGACCTTTGTGCAGGTACGAAGCCGAAGGTCCCCGTCGGACGCACAGGCAAGGAGTTTCTGCTCGGAGGAAAGGGCAACCCCGTCCCGATCGGACACCGCACGCGACCACCTCGGCGGGCTCGAGTGACGCCCCAGGGAGATCCCGTCGTCCGGACCCGAACCGAGCCGCGTCGGCCCCGAGACCACGGCTCAAGGTTGTTTACACTAACAACATTCCATTTATACTGGAGTCACCATTTGGACCATCAGAACAAGTCTGCAGATTTAAGCCTTCTGCAACTCTATATCTGCAGCCACACCTCGGAGAGGCAACAAGCATTGTTTTTGGTATTGATGTCTGGTATTCTGTGGTTTGTTTCTCAGTACACTCATATCCTTATGGGTATAGTATAGATTTTTTTATAAAATAAAAAAATAGAGAATTTTATTGACAAAAAGATATAACCCCATTCGCATTAGTGATAACAAAAAGATCTAAGTTTAAAAAATAAAAGAAAATAAATTTCTCAAAATACACTCAGCATGATTAACCAATCTGGTATTCTATGGTTTATTTCTTATTATTCCTATCAGTAGGGATATTATGCTTAGTCTAACATGAGGTATAGTATAGATTTTTTTTTTATAAAACCAAAAAATCTAAAAAAAATTATTGACAAATGCTAACTAAAATATCTAAGCCTAAATCAAATAAATTCCTCCAAAGATACCAAAAAGATCCAAGTTTAAAAGAAATGAATTCCTTCAAAGATCAAAAAATTTACAAACCTAACAACCAATTAAGCATACAATTTTCTTCTCCAAATACATGCATTAGGTGAAAAATATCCCTAATATAGATTTAAATTAGTACATAAGTTATAAAAATACAACTTCTTTTGAAGCTCACAACACCCAAATACCTATTCATCACTCGACTCAAGAATGCTCAGTCAGATCTTTAAAGAACAAATGACAATCTTACTAGAATAAATGACAATCTTAGAGTTGGACCAAGGCCACCTTCAATTTGATGCATTACATCAACATGGGAATATTATTCCCTAGAAAAGGAGAACCCACCATTTGTAGGTAAACAATTCTCATCATGCACCTACAGACAACAAAAATTTTTTAACCAGAACTAAAAGCTGAATGTTCATATTATTATATTGGAAAGTGCTAAAAAGTATTGCCAGCTGCAGCTTGATCCAACCAACTCAACACAATTGATCACAATCAGGAGCGTTTTATGCAGGTGGCATTTTCTATATACTTATCTCATCAAGCAAAGCAACTCAAATTATGAGTTAAGTGCGTAGAGCAATAAATAACTTTCTTCCATGCATGATCCACTTAACCTTGGACAAAGATACAAGACAGCATCGTGAATTCAGTTGACAAAATTGGCCATCTAAAATAAACATAGCGAACCAAGAACGCAAGAACAAAATAATAAACTGAAGAGACAAACACGATTTGTTTCCAGGATATGGAAGCCCAGACATTACAACAAGCAGATAGACATCTCCCAGAGACATTTTTCTACAAAATTTGAACAATTTTACTTGCAAGCACACGGTCCCGCCTCTCGATGTATGCGCAAGGGAACCAACCTGCCTTTCCTTTGCATTCACCTTCAGCCCAACCATTATTTGATACCTGTAAGTGGACAAACAGATTGACTTGATGGTAATAAATGGTATGACATCAGCACAAGGCAACTAAATTCAAACTTCAACAATATGAAAACAAAGGCAGATGCATGCTGCACTGTCCTATTGAGCAACCACTTACCTATCTTTTGTTTGTAAAAGAACAAATAATAATAATGATAATAAACTTGTATGATAACAAAATTCCCAAATTTGTTTTGTTAAGAACAAGTTGAGTGCTTTTTACATTTGTTGGGATGAGTTTCTTAAAACCTAAGCAGATAGTCATCTCCAAACTTGAGGAACAAACACCAAGACCGATGACCATGAAACAATTGTTGGGATGAGTTTCTTAAAACCTAACAGTCTAGTTGGCTGAAAGTTCTATTCTTTTTGTGAAGATTTTCTCAAAACTCTAAAACCTCTTAAGAGATTTTCTCAAGTTACTGTAGTCAAAATGACCCTTAAAAATCCCCATTCTTGGGATGAGTTTAGAGAAAGGAAGCCAAAAACTGACAAGCTATGGTCAAACTTAAAAGGAAAATGGTTCATCTTAAAGAGAAAAGCCAATGGGCCATTCAAAAAGCTTACAAATAGTCTAAGCTGACAAATAAAAGATTCTCGATTGAAATTAAACCATGTCAACATTTTAAACCAGGCGTTACTGTTCATCATGGAAATATTTAGCCCCAATAAACTTGAGACAGAACATGAATGAAGCAATTCACAGAAGAATGCACACACCTTACGTACAACAACATAGTCACCAACTGACAAGTTAAGCTCCACATCTGTCTCGGCCTGATATGATTGAATAACCTTGCAGTACCAAACATATAATGCATTCAAGTGAGCACAGCAAACACGGTTAAACAACTCAACCGGCTAGTATAACCCAGCTTAATGAGGTGGACATACAGGTCATTTTAATTACCTCAGCTAAAAAGTATTCCATGGTGTCAGTTGATGTATCACCAGTTGAGTTAGCAAAAATGCCATTGGCTTCTTCATATGATGGGGGAGGCGGCACAAAGTTTTCTGTTGCTGGATTTGGAGATGCTTCAATTCTTTGACGCTCTGACAGCATCTATTGATCAAATCCATCAGCACAGTAGAACAAGGTCAGTTTCTTTATCCATGTCAAAGACTTTTTCAACATACACATGATGCATATGTAAATGTAAAGTTGGCAAGAGAAAGAATTTATTGACTTGACTAAACAATAATCAATTTCTCAGGTACCTCTGCTTCAAGTTGTTCGAGAATTTGTAGGACCTTCTGATGGTAAGTGCGCTCTGATTCAACCTTGCAGGAAAAATTGCAAGTTAGACATGAAGCAAAAGATAGCAATATGTGAAAATCTAGCTTGTTGGAAGCATAAAACAAAGACTATACCATAGCAATAAGCCGCTGTAAGGTTAATCTTTGTTGTTGGGCCTCCACGGCTGTCATTGCTGCAACGGCTTCCTTACCCAACACTGCCATATTAGATTTTAATTCCTGCAACTTGGCTTCCGCGGCTTCTAACTTTGAAATGTAGTCACCACCACCAACAGTTTCTCTTACTTTTATTTGACGCTTTGAAACTTCAATAGCCTGTCATATTATCAGACATATCTTCACAGGATCTTCGTTACAGATATAGCTTTCAGATTAAAAAAAATAATCATAGCTTGAAGATTTTCCATTAGCATAGAGAATTGCAGAAAAATTAGTGAAGAAGTTTTAAAACAGCAAGGGCATGTGCTACAAGAATTTCAACAATGAAATGACTTCCATAGGTAGTTGTTTAGCTTCCAGGCACAATGGTTAATAAATTGCAAGCAGAAAATGTAGAACTATAATCCCAGATATCAAGTTGGTAGCCAAACATCTTGGTTACAAGTTGCAGCTTCACAAATTCTTATTAGCTGATTGTAGTTACTTGTATCAAGAAACAATCTAATGCTGCTGGATGGGAATTTCATAAATTGTTATGTGTATATTTTCAATATCTATTCATATAAGTAAAATCACCAGATTACTAGTTTCCATCCTACACATAGTGTTCTGGCTTTCAGGGGCTTGATGCATGGAAACAGCCATATAAATTCAACTGTAAGACTGCATGCATCTAACTCTCCACAGACCTAGGGCTGTGGGAAGCCTCATGCACTGAACTCATGTTCTTAAAATTGTCAAAAGCACCTTAAGGTGGATGTCCCTAACATTGTGTCTTTGAATACTTCCAAGTCCAGTTGCAAAGTGGACATGCATATGCATAAGTATATTATTGCTTATCATTGCATCACTATAAGTTATGCTACAGTATTTGAGACAAATGATGCAGAAACACCCCCGGTAAATCTTGATAATTACATATTTAACTATTAAAAGATAGGAAAATAGTTCAATCATATAGTGTATCCCTTTTTGAGAGGTACAAAATACTAAATGCTAGAACTTTTTAAGAAGTTACGTATGATAAACTAACTTTCAGGTAGTTCAAAATTGAATCACAGATATAAATGAAAATTAAACAATACAAGTTAAATATAACATTCGATAAGCAACTTGAACAAATAAGGCTGATCAATAGTGATAAATGCAAGGATGTCTATGGAGAATATCCAATAGAAACATAATCTTATCAGTTTCTATTTTCTAATAAGATTACCTGAGCTTCAGTATCTTGGCGCATCCTATCATATCTCTGGGCAAGGTGTCGAGCATCTTCCAATGGAGCACCCATTACCATAGCTCTTAATGGCTCTGCAACCTGGCAGAAAATGATAATTGAATATCATATGATAAATGGACATTGAAAGCATTTAACAATGCAGAGATAGCATATGATCGGTGGACACTGAAAGCATCTAGCAAACCAGTTTATATAAGGATCACTAACTCAGGAACATCAATATAAAAACAGCCACTTAAGCATCTTCTCTGGCAAACTGCCATCTATGGTTAACAAACATATTCAGAAAAACAGAAAAAGTGTGTGATAAAAAAATAAGTGAGAACTTGAGACAAAATTACAGCATTTAATGAAGCACAATCCATTTGATGTTTTAATACTTTCACATAAAATTTAGATGTAAGTGAAACAAATTAAAACCAGGGTCTTGCTCATACTGCAAGGCAAAATAGACAATAAATAGAATCAGCTGCAAATGTAATAATCATGGGTACAGATTAAATAAAATATCAAATTAACATGCATAAGTACATGAAGAACCTTTTAGGAAAAAAAAAAAAAAAACAAAGGCAAATGTCCGAATAACATTAACTTAATGTAGTATCCAGAATTAGCAATGAGTCAAATGTACTCGATAAAACTGCCCTGTGTAAACATGGATAAGTTTTGCCAACAGAGTCTGGTTTACAGCAAAGAAGGAAGTAATCACTGGACAACATGTAAAATACAGAGTGCAAATCCACTGTAACCCTTATCCACTAAATGAAAGAGAACAAAGGTAAAAGGCATTTAAATTTTGAACTATAAATATGAATAAGCAAGTATCTCTTACAAAAAAACTCTGTAAGTTCCATAAGCCAATAATCTGGGCTGCATTGTTAGAAGAGCAGCATAAAAAATTAGCTTGGGAAACAAGTGCCAAAACCTGGGTACCAAGAGCTTTTAGAAGATTCCCACGTTCATTCTCCATTTGAGCACGAGCTCTTCCAAAAGATAAAGCACCTTTTGACAGTGTATTTCCACTGGTGCAGGTGTTCTCACCGCCATATTTCCTACTATCTTCAGATAATTTATTGCCTAAGCAATATGGACTCAATTAGAAACAAAATATATTTGTCTATACTGGAAAAAGTAGTATGACTTCAGCAAAAAAATTGAAGTTTGGCTTTACAGAAAATAGTAATGGATAAAAATGAACAGATGGGAAAAACACATGAATTGGAAAAGGTACCTATTTCAATTTGTTTGGATCCTGTAACAATATAGCCTTCAACGCCACGGACTATATCCCTTTGAAAATGCTGCAAGACAATGATTTAAAGGCTGTGAATGAGAAGGGCCGAGAAGATAATGGACAAGAAGACAGGAAGTTGAGAGCTTTAAACCTTGGCAGCTCGGGTTGATATGTAAAGCTTTTCTAGTTTTTGATGCTGCTGATATTCTGGTGAATCTGTAATTACATTATCAGAACCTCCATATACACTACCTCCAAATTGCTTAAAAACAGCCTGTAGAAGTAACAACAGGAATCTATTTGTTACTCATGTCCATGACAGTGATATGACACTTTCAGCAAGCCTCCCTAATTTCCACAAGCAGATAAATGGTTTATTGCACTGACATAGATGTAGGTAATGCATATGTTTATCTCATGAACTAGTCCCTGGGAAAGTCTAAACAAATGATATGGTAACCATGAATTGGCATATGCCATAACTTGTGAAGGTGAATTCTGTTTCTCTTCTGTTATGAACTTGACTACGAATAACAGAGTAGGAAATTGCTTCTGTTATGTTTACAAGTACTTACAAGTAATTTACTGTAAATGAAGTTGATGGGAAATACGAAGCAATATAGATATTTGCAAATATGGCATCGAGCAAGAACAAATCAAGGTTCAGAAAAATATATTATATGAGTCGGCATATAATATAATTCCTAAAGGTGAATTTTCTTTTCTTGTACGGGAAACTAGACTATGAAACACAGTAGGAAAATTGACTTGAGAATATATGGATCTCTTGTGAGAAAAAAAAACAATTTTTTTCTCCATTCTCATTTACAATCTCAGTTGTATTATAAGATGTAAAAATACATGTCTCATTCTTCAGTTGTTTAATGATTTCCACAGGGCATGAAATTGATTCAAGTTATACCCTTGAAACAAAGATGAATTTTGCAGCTTCAATCAGGATTCTACGGTCAGGTGGGACTTCTGGAATCATCCGTTGTGATCACTTAGATTCACCTTTCAAGTATCAACCTAATAGTTTGCGATATCCCATTTTCTTGTAATTTGGAAGGCAAACCACAATCCATTTCGAGTACAAGATAAAAGAAAAATAAGAAAGAAACAATCGACCCAAACGTCCCTCGATCACGACTACGATTCTATCGGCACTCACAAAGAAATAACGAAGACATCTTCACAAAGAGCTGAACGAAGACTTCTTCATCTTTAACCATACAATCTCAACACCTTGGTGAAGAACAGATCAACCCGAGAAAAAGAAAGAAGAGGTCAATCATTGCCCTAGATGCAGTGAATCCGCCCCAAATCAAAAGCAATCGGCACGAATCGAAGCAAGAACAGCCCGACGACAGTAACGGGAGGGAAGATGGAGAAAGATCCAGGGAGAGCGGACTACCTGCTGCTGCCTGGCGACCTGCTCCCTGAGCTTGGAGGCCTGCTTCCTGATGGCTTCCATCCACCACCAGGGAGGCGAACGCCCGAGAAACGGCCCGGAATTCGATCAGCGATTCGTCGATATCTTCAGGGAGGCGGCGGAGTAGGAGGAGGAGAAAGAGGTGCGATCTGATGCGGTCTCCTTTCGCTGTGGCTGCCTGCCTCTGATTTGAGACGGTGTATTATTGACGCGATCGGTCACTATTAGAATTTCTAGTAATTATTATACGACGCCAATGTTGAACGAGTTTTAGACACAGACTTCCTTTTTCGCATAATTCTCTAATAGTGTTTTTTATTTAATACTTAAAATACTTTAATTTGACACTCAATCATTTTCTTTTTCTTTTTTTTTTATTTTTTAACCAAAATATACATTCTTTTGATTTTTACTAAATAATGTCTTTAATTCAAAAAAATCAAAACTATTTCTTAAAAAGCTGATTGTACTTTTTATTTGTTATAATATTTTAACTTATTATAGTGTTTTGATTATATAAAACTATAAATAAGTCAAAAAAATCAAAATATACTACAAACTATTTCGGTACATTATATTGAAAATTAACTTTTTTATGATATTTTTGCTATTAAATAAAAATACTATAAAATTTATTTGAAAACAGATCTAAATATACTCTTAACCTCAATCAAACTAATTACAAGTGTAAAAATATTATATCATAATGGTTTAAGAATAATGAGAATTAAAGAAGCATAATATGATATTACTTTAATATTTTTAATAGTATTTATAGTATTTTCAGTATCTCAATAAAAAAATATTATAAACATTATTAAAAAATATAAATCAACCAAATGAAAACACTGTAATGATTCAAAAGTGATAAAATAAAAATCAATGGAACGAGTTAGTGAGATGTATTTTGGGTATTTTTAGAATTATGAATGCTATTTGAAAAAAATAAAAAGGCAATGCATTTTGAAAAAAACTGAAAAGGGGATTATTTCTAGGAAATTCGTTTGTTATTATAAATAATTAAAATTATTATCTTGATATTAGATAAAATAAAAAGATCCTATTAGGAAATTGTAAAATTGAAATTATTTTTCTTTCCATTGCAGTGGACACTAAAAGTATATGGAAAAATAATTTTAATTTTGAAATAATGTTAGTAATATAAATGATAATATATTTAAATTTTTGGTAATTAATATAATGTTTAACTTAAATTTAATGGGTGATTGGTAATTACACGATAAATTTGCAGGACAACAATATATTTGCCTCTCTGATTCCTTTTTCGGCGTTGCCCCGTTCGGCCCCAACAGAGGAAGAGGAACGGCGGCGGTAGGGATAGCGATGGCGGCGTCTGGGGGTTCCGGCAGCGATCAGGACGAGTTCTACCTGCGGTACTACGTAGGTCACAAGGGCAAGTTCGGGCACGAGTTCCTGGAATTCGAGTTCCGCCCTGACGGCAAGCTCCGCTACGCCAATAACTCCAACTACAAAAACGACACCATGATCCGCAAGGAGGTCTTTGTCTCCCCCGCCGTCCTCCGCGAGTGCCGCCGCATCATCGCCGACAGCGAGGTCCCCGTCCCCTTCCTCCTTCACTTTTCCAATCCCTCCCTCCTGGGATTCATCGATTCTAGGGTTTTGGTGACGTTGATGATAATGATGATTCTTTCTTGGATTGGTTTCGCTCGTTAAATTGCAGATCATGAAGGAGGACGACAATAACTGGCCACCGCCCGACCGGGTCGGCAGACAGGAGCTGGAGATTGTTATGAACAACGAGCACATCTCCTTCACCACCTCCAAGATCGGGTCCCTCGTCGACGTCCAGGGCAGTCAGGATCCTGAAGGGCTTCGCGTCTTCTATTACCTCGTCCAGGTTCGTGCTGTTTTGAGATCGGCAGCTGTCGGAAGTGCTCTTTAAATCTTGTTGCTCTTGCTAGGTCCTGTTTCTTGCCCAATCAAAACCGGGTTGTGTAATAGCAATAGAACAGGTTGCACCAGGATGAGATTGGGAGGGGTAGGAATTGTCTAGTTGAATGAAATTGCATATGGTAGAATAGAACAGAAGCTGTTTGTTGATAAATGTTCACTTAGCTGTCTTTTCTTCCCATCACCCGTCATATTCTCCACCAGATTATTGCATGATAGTCATTATGCGTTTTTCTTAATATTGAGTCTAATCAATAGAGAGAAAGGCATTTAGGTGTTTGGTGATGATGAGTGGTGGTAGTCCAGAATGACCAATGATCTGTCTATCATGCTTGTTATTTATGTCAGCCATTGCATGCCATATTGTTCTGGATCCCTGAAAAAGTATTATTAGCTATACTTGGCCACATGCTGTTCGAATGCACACTTTGCATCAAGCTGATTTAGCTCCAGATTCTTTACTTCTCAAAGTCTTTCCATTAATTTTAGTAGCAAGAAGATGAACTCCATTGTTTGGATCTTCGGCTGTAAAGCCGTTGTATTTTAGATAGTTATTAACTAAATATTATCATATTACCTTTCTGTGTACTTCTTTTCATATTAATTTGATTTAATTAATTACTAGCTCAGTGATGTCCCTTATTCTTTCTGGTTCTGCTGCAAAGTCATTCTGTTCTGATTTAGACAAATAACCCTAATTTAGACAATTTAACCCATGCTCATATGTGTAATCTTCACTTGAGGCAATTGAGGCAGATGTTCTATCTGTTGCTTGTATACCTAAAATTATTTACATGACCTGTATATGTCTGCATCTCCACTTGCAAGTACACATATAGGTTGAATAGTTATGAACAAATAGGCCAAGAAGGTGTTACATCTAGTTTTGGTTCAGTAAGACATCCAAGAAGCTCAAAGTTAATAGACTACAATTTTATATATTCTGAACTTAGTTGTGGAAAATATGTCATAGTTCTCATACATTTTCCTTTTCTGTATAATTTGTCCTCACTAGTCATCGCAAAGTTCATACAAACATTTTAGTGTGTTGCCCTTGTTTAAATACTTCCCATGTATGTTCTGGAAGGTTTTGATTGTTAAAGTTTTAGTTGAAGTTCCTTAACTTTTGAGAAACTGAAGTTGATGAATCATGGATAGTTGAGTGGTCTTGAACTGTGCTTCTTTCTCTGAGTAATTGCCGCAACAGAAATACACTAGGCCCTTTGGATTGTACCTTGATATGTGTAGTTTATCTTTCTAGTTAGTGAAAATTTTGTTCTGTAATTAGAAAAATAACATTAATTTATGTTATGCTGAGAACTACAAAAATTTGATGTTTTGTTTCAAACAAAATGTCTTTTCAAATAAAATGAGTTTATGCTAGTATAGTCTTAGGAACCCTGAAGCTTGTTTATTGCCCAACTACCCAAGCAGAAAGTCTAGGCATCTTGATGACCATCAAAAGCGAAAACTTCTTCTGCTGTCTCTTTTGAGTGGGTATATTTTTTTAGTAGGATGGTTTTGCATGCTTCTTCAGCATTATTTGTGAAATTTGCTGTTACAGTTGCCTCTAGGATTTCTTTTTACTGATAGAATTATTTAATCTTGCGCTTAATAGATCTGCCACAAATGATGGGTTCAATTTATTTCTTTCAAGAAAGGATAGCCTCTTTGTTTAAATAAAGTTGTGCTTTCTGCAATATATTTGGAGTAACTTAATTTCTTTATAGTTTCCTAGTTGTTTTTGTTCATGTTTCATTAGTGTCCACCACGTGACTTAGTGTGCTCGGTAAACTAGTTTTGTCTCTGGCAAGTGAGGAGTGTTGATCATCCTTTTGAGTTTTGACTGATTACCACATAGATATCAATTAGCACTTAATTGTATGTGGAGCGCAGTCTATTCAAGAATCACTCATGTTGCTAACATGCTCACTCGTGTTTTTTGTTTCTTGCAGGATCTCAAGTGCTTTGTTTTTTCTCTAATTTCTCTGCACTTCAAAATCAAACCCATTCAGTCCTAAGTTTGTGTTTGTGTTTCTGCTTCATCTGCTTGGACTTCTTCTCTGACCATTATAATTGTGTAAGTTGATCTTGAGTGTCGCAGACAGTTTATGAAAGCTTGTTTAGATGATCCTTTTGTGTGCTACAATGACCATGACAGTTTACTGATTCTATTGGTTTCGTATGTGCTGTATTTTGACAAAGTTTGGGTGAATGAGTTTATGAAGCCTTTTGTGCACCACTTTGAAACGCTTATAGTTACTTTCTTGATTTGGTTTATTGTGGTCTTTGGTAATGAAGAGCTTGGTAATTTTTTTGCATTCTCAGCCATACAACTTATTAAATTTCCTGTTGCAGAACTGGGAATGACTCTTCCTTTGCGAGCCGTTATAATGCTGTGTTCTTAAGCCAAGATATTTATACATCGAACGCCAGTATAACTGCTACTAGTACTGTATATAGTTTGCTTAGTAGTGATGAAATCAGTCATGGATCTTTTTTTTTCTCAAACGTTTTCCTAGTTGCTGATTTTATATCTCCGACACATTATATTCTTTGCATCTTTTATCTTTTTGCCTGGAGACATCTATTATTCCCACAAATGTATCGCAAGGTTATCTCTAGAGAAAAAAGGGCCTGCATTACTTGGAGTTACAGTTTAGTTCGTGCATCCAACCAACTTAATTTTTTGGTGTAGCTCTTCCACTGTTGCTTTAGTTCTTAAGTGCATTCCTGCACAGGATTACAGTTTGGTTTAGGGAGCTGCACTAAGTTTAGCCAATGGTTTGAAGCTACATGAAGCCGATCTATGTATCATCTTGTTGTCTAGCTGATGCCTACATAAGCTCAACCTTTTTGTAGGGCAAAACATATATAACCACGACCTTACTATGCTCGTCACAGATGGCAAACCCTTTCTTTGGGTTCATGCAATCTCAGATGAGGTTTCTTTCTTCTCCTTTCCCCAACACAATGTGCAGGCATCAAATTGTGGACATGGTGGTGGTGTTCTTCAACCCTACATGTAAATGACAGGATGGTATACCCTGCACGTTTTTCTTCGTATCCAAAGATATCTTGATTCAACATGAAATAATTGACTTTGGAGGAAAACGACAAGCTGACTCTTTTCCCGCATTCATTGATAATGGAGGACCTCACCACACATGTTTCAAATGCTATCAATATAATGAAGTGGAGTCATGTGTCTAGGGATGAAAATTATTAACTTCATCAAATAGGTGGAACTAAATATAGAATTCATTAATCTTTGGATAATCTAATCTTATTGTACCTGATAGGGAATGTTCTAGCACTACTCATGCACCGATACTTGGCCATCACTAAGAAGTGGATGTGGGGGCATGTACCTGGTGCTTGTTCAGAGCAAGCATAGTCAGCTCGACTGACGATGTGCAATCGATTTCGTATCGCTCGAAATTGTGCAGGTTGATATCGCACAATGAGGGATCAAACATGTCGCCCTAAGCCATACGGGTCAGATGTCGTGCGGTGGGGGACTTGATGGGTCGACTCATGCCGTCAAAGGCATATGGGTTGACCCCTATAATGGCCACACCAAATGAAACATCGATGTCATTAACAACCCACGTACGATCGAGCCGTCGTTATAGGTATAAATATCGATCTCCTAGACTAAGGGGATCGAATCTTTTTCGCTACTAAGATCACATGTTAACTTAAGTATTTGAGGAGTTAAATCGGGAATCTTATCGGGAATCTTTCTCTCAACATTGACTTATCACGTAGGATCTCAGCATGGACGAAACTAATCATGATCCACCTTGGTCGGTCAATGATTTCTATGTCCAAATATCCACGTGAACAATCTTATACTTTTGAAATAAAATCAAATAAAATCAAGTCATACTGATCCCTACGACATAAAGTTACACAACATTTCCTAAAAAAAAATTGCAGCTTGGTGCGTTTCTTGCACGGCTTTGCTTCCACATCTGAAGATGGTGTGATGAACTTTTTGGCGTTGAATTAAGTAATGCAAGAAGGTAGGAAGAAACAATTGACTAAGAAGCAAAGGGACAAAACTGGCCTTTTAACGCTCTTTAAGAAATAGAGCACGTCTTTTTCTTAGTACCAACTCCCAAGAAAAGAAGTCTGTCAATCTCTTTGTGAAGATACGATAGATGTTGACTGGGTTCTATCCTTTCTATTCCACAAGAGAATACAGATCGTTTATTGCTTTGATTAGCACGAGTTCCCATCCAATTCAAAGAATAGAGTCTCATCTAACATTGTTGACTGCATGAGACTTACTATTGCTTCCTTTTTGTGTATCATGACGAGCTAAGACTTCTCTGATTGCCGAAAACCATGCGTTGTCAAGTATCACAAGAGGAGGCGAATACGCCAAACCTCACCTTTTGCGCTTTTTGTAGGTGAATGAGTACGTCTCTGACTTGTTATGCGAAGTCTAAGCCAAGTCTAAAGGCATTTTAAAGCACGGAGGACGAAGAATTAATGTGAGGTCGAGGTTGCTTTCCTCTATCCTTAAGTCATCTCATGATAAGATTGTGCTGCCAAGGATTTCGAGGAAGCATTGTGTGAGGAAATAGAGATCATAAGATGAGATGTTACAAACAAGCTGATGATACTAGAGGTTGACTACCTACTACTGATCTTTACAGATTGCAGATATGGAGCATTAGAATCATGTCAGAACTCTATGGAAAAGTTGAATTCATACTTCAGCCAGTTGCTCTGCCACTATCTACTTGTTTATTTGGAACTGCTTCAAGTTGACAACATGTCTGCCACAAAAATAATTTGAAACAGTCTGAGAGATGAACTCAGAATCTGAACTGCTTTGAATTGGGTGATCATATCTATTTGCTGTTAGCAGGAGAAGAGCAGGGAGGTAGCAAAGATTCCAGATACATGATCAAGTTGCTGCACTCTTTATGTTGCTGTCATATGCCCACGTTCTCCTGTCTGATACATGATCCCATTCCCAGTTCATCCTCTGCTCTTCCAACCAATAATGAGAGGGAAGAGAGTCGCAATGAAGCACAAGCAACTTAATCCGCATACTGGTTTTGCATCTCACCATTCCTCAAAGGCACAGATTGGGAGGGAAGCGAGGTAAGGGACCACTGCTGATGGCTTCTTCCAAGCTTGCTCTGTCATTTATTATGCTCATGGAGGTGCAGCAGATGCATGACTGCCAATCTTCGAAGCCTACCTCAAAGAGGTAGCAGCTCAATGTGGCTTCCACTGGGTTCCATGCCCATGCCTATTTGTGTGCGACGTGTTCAAATCCATCTCTAACTTGATCATATCTGTCTGGCATTATATGTAACTCTGCTGTGTCATTTAATGTGCGACTCACATGGACGCAGGAGATCAACTTGTTTACTTCGCCTCAGAATCTTTCCCTTCTCACTTCGCTTTCAAGAGATGATAGCAGCCGCAATGGGCTTAATATATTCCCCTCCCCTTCCTCTCAACATCGCAAGCAACACGGTTGCCTCCCTTGGGAATCGTCTCCGTCGACCCACCGCTTCCTCCTCCGCAGGACCAGCAGAAGAAGAAGATATGAAGGTGCAGTGCGAGGTCTGCACTGCGGAGGCCGCGTCGGTGTTCTGCTGCGCCGACGAAGCTGCGCTCTGCGACAGCTGCGACCGCCGCGTCCACGGCGCCAACAGGCTTGCTGGCAAGCACCGCCGCTTCTCCCTCCTCCATCCCTCTTCTTCCGCCCAGCCCCCGCCACTCTGCGATGTTTGCAAGGTTCGTCGTTGCCTGGCATCTCCATCTGGCGATGGGAGTCGATGCTAAACCGCCTGTCGGTGATGGAACCCTGCAGGAGAAGACGGGCTTCCTCTTCTGCCAAGAGGACCGCGCCATCTTGTGCAGGGACTGCGACCTTCCGATCCACAGCGCCTCAGCACTCACCATGAAGCACAGCAGGTTCCTCCTCACCGGTATCCGCCTCTCCGCCGCTCCGAAACTGGACGCCGAGGCCGTGACCAGTATGCATGGCCACTGCGACATCAAAACCGACAGCAGCGGCAGCGGCGGCGGCGGCGGCAGCATGGTGGCAACGACGAACAGCAGTAGCATCTCGGAGTACCTGATGAACATGCTGCCCGGGTGGCACGTCGATGACTTCCTAATGGACGACGTCACCGCACAAGCCTTCTGTAAGGTTAATTCTCAGTTTTCTTGCTAGCGCTTTCCCTCTATGCTATGATGTTCCATCGCTAAAGATGGTGGTGGCGTGTGATGACAGACGGAGGAGGAGGAGGAGGAGGAGGTGAATCCATTCAACAGCGTGTTGAATGGCTATGAGGCTCCCTGTTGGGTCGCAGGTGGCGAGGGCACCGGGGTCGAGGAGGTGGAGATGCAGGCCAGCGCGGGTGTCAAGAGGCCGAGGATCTCCATTAGGTACCTGTAAATCGCAAGCGAGGAAGAAGATAATATCACAGAGAAACGGAGAGCGATGATTTCGACACAGAAATTCCAGCGATTAGGAAGCTGTCGTGACGCACACAGATTCCGAGATATGCTGTATTAATGTTCATATCTTCCCTCTCAACCTTTTCCTCTTCCTTCTTTCTTTGCACTTCTGTAGAAGAAAAAGGCTGAGAAGACTGCATCAGGATGTACGTATTGTGGTCTCTTCCATCAGATCCTCGTCGATTCAATCTGTTGTTTGTAGTTCGTATTAGATCCACCAAATCAGGTAAAAATTACAAGGAGAATGCAATTTTGTTCGTCCATATTGAGGAAGATTAGGCAGATCGAAACAGCAGTATCTTTTTGTTACACGTATTGACTAGTGTTATAGGATGATGACACATGGATTATTATTATTTTCTCACATCCTTAACGTGACATGATCAATACCCCACCATATGATTAACATCTCATTATCATTTGGGTAATATGATAATTAATTTATATTTAAGTCAGTTATATATGAAGCTAAAGGAATAATCCAATGCCTTATATTTTTTGGGTTTGACGTTATATAATCACATCTATGATTGAAAAAAAGTACATAACCATTCAATGCATTTAATCATGGCTTTGAATACAATGATTTTAGATCCCATTATAAAAAAGCTAATTTTTTCGATACTTCAACTCAACACTTGTCCAAATCCTTCAAACTTTAAGCATTGATGGGGCCTTATCGAATACATCTCTAATATCAATTTATTTTTTAGATTTTTTTTTCTAATTCTTGAAGTTGACTAAATCGGTAGGACGTTATAGATTATATACTTAAACATTGGTGGGGCCTTATCGAGTAAGCCCCTAATATAATTTTTTGTAGGATCTATTACTGAACATATTTATCTTATAACATCAAGTTTGTGATCATCTTGGACTCAAACCAAGGTTAGCTCTGAACCTCTTCCAAATATCATATAATTAAATTTTGCTCTAATAGAATGGCACAAGAAGGATCCGACAAAAATTATTACAAACTATTTGAACATAAGAGTTATCATCGGGGTTGAACAACAACATGGAGGGACAGTTGCATCATACCATCCTTTGGTATGATAAAGTAGTAATTCAATATAATTAAACAATAGCAACATGGTTGAACCACCCTTGGCTCTTAAAACTAATATAGTCAAATTGTCTAAAGAGATAACTTCCAACATCAATATAGCTAAACTACCTGAGAGGTGGCTCTCGACACTAACACAGACAAACTGCTTGAAGCAATAATTCCTAACACCAACATCGTCTAACTATCTAAATAAGTGGATCTTGAACTAATACGGACATAATTGAAATCACCTAAAGAGTTGGCTGTTAGGACCCTTTTTATAAGCTTTTGAATAATGTTTATTGAGTCTGGTTAGTCTAGTTGTTTATTGAGTCGATTTGGTTCAGTTAGAGTCAAGTAGAGGTTTATTTAATATTTATTTATTATTAGAGTTCAAGTCCTGATGGACCTTGGGTGGAACTCTATAAATAGGGATGTAACTGCTTCTTTTCAGTAATCAATGAAAAATACTATTCTGTCTTTGGACAAACCCTAGGAGGCCGATCCCCTCGAAGTGATCAAGGAGGGCCGATCCCCTCGAAGAGATCAAGGAGGGCCGATCCCCTCGAAGCGATCAAGGAGGCCTACGATAAGACTTTAGGGTCTTATCATTTGGTATCAGAGCAGCGATCCTCGGCGTTCTCGCTGTAGTTCGTCATCGCGTTAAAAAAAAAAAAAAGAAA